TTACCTCTTCTATTGTTGTGTAAGTAGTAGGCTTTAAGTTCTTAACTATCATAAACAATGACAGGCATCTTATGTAGAGTACCTTTATAAGTAATAATGAACAAGACAAAGTGGTCAAATAGAATTATTTGAGTTTCTTTTTTGATTTAGCTTCTCAGTGTAAATTATATTGAGTTTTGGAATATCCACCTGCAAAGCAGTAAAGTCAGCTCCCCCAAAGCTGATCCAAAGTTTGCTAAAACAGATTCATGTCAATAAAGGCTGTATTTAAATGTATCTGCTATATGTCTTGTGGCTAACAAGAAAAACAATTTTGTCCTGCAAGCATTGTTAAGTTCATATAAAAATGCCTACGGTAACATCCAAATTGCAAGTCTCATTATCAATAGGGTTAATTTATTTTTCATTTATTATTAAAGGTTTATAATTGGTAAAACATGAATTAAACAAATGTTACTAGGGCCAGGCATAAAGAGACTGGACTAATTAAGCCATTAAGATCCTTGAGTGATGAAATATAACTATAATCATATCTACCCCTCACTTTTTTCAACGTAACAATTTCCTCACACCCTGAGTTCTTAGCCTCCTTTCTCACTCCTTCAGTCTTGGTTGGGTGGTGGCTACAGGGGTGCATTCATATATAAAAGTTCACTAAGCTATACATTAACAATCTGTGCACTGTACTAATGTAAAAACTGTAAAAATCCAGAGAAGCCTTATGTTAATGTAAAAAAGCAATAATAATAATTGCAAAGATACTTGTTCACTATCTAGTTATAATAATATACATTGTAGCTGCCAGCTACAAGCACCTGGCCCACCACTAGAATGTAAGCTCCCTGAGGGCAGAGACCATGCCTAATACTTCACCTATGACTCTGCCCCGTGTGTGTGCAACCTGTGCTCAGCCTGCAGAGGGAATACTGGCTGATGGGCACTGTGGAGGGAAGGCCTGTGCTGTAACGACTCTCCCCTGGAGAAAGGACGCTGCGTCAAAGTCACAGATGTAAGAAGACAGCATTTCTTAGAGAAAAGCATGCATTTGACCTGCAGGACATTAATCACCTGGCTTACAAAATGAACCTATCTAGATATTTCTTCAACCCTGTAATATCTGGTGTCATTAAGCTAAGACTACTGGTGGCTGCTAGAAATTTTATGTCCAGGTGTCCAGTTATTTAAAGAGGAGAAGGAAAAAGCCATGGTGACATTTGCACTTCTCCACAGGTGGCCCCGGTATTTACAGCTCATCCTTTACCTTCCCCATTCTCCTAGAAACACACGGCTTTCTGCCTCACTGACTTTATCTACTTCTGCGGGACATTACACCCACTGCAGCCCACGCCTCCCAATCTTCACCACACAGCTCCTCCCCAACTAAATGCTAAGCCTTGGAACTGCCTCCTGCATTCTGTCACCCAATCCAGAGACTTCCATGGGAATTGTAACATGTCTCCCTTCTAAACACATTCTCAATGGCCAGGGCCTCAATTTGCAGGGTGCTTGTCCATCTGTTCTGTCTATTCAGCAGAGTCCTTGCTATGTTTTAACATCCCAATTCCAACAACAGTCTTTAAAATTATGTCAAGTAGTTTATTTGCCAAGTGATAAAGAGATTATTTTAGTGGTTAATGTACAAGCTGGATATTAAAGCCCTGGTTTTGCTGCAGCTTCAAGAAGTCAGAGGATGTGGGTCAGACTCTAGGCCTGCCTGAATCCACCATTAGAATAATTCTAAAGAATATGGAAAAGATCCCACGTCAGCCAATGAAACTCCTCATGGTTGATTAACTGTATGTTGATTAACAGGGTATAAATGAGGTTAAGATATCTGGCTTCACAGGGACAATGCCTTAATAATCTTCTTATCTGTCTGTGTAACTGTTATTGCTCTTGTTATTATTATCTTAAGTGATGTGCTCACAGTTCACGGGTCAAGTATTCCCTTATTGAAATGAGTGTTCTGATTTGTGAATCAGTCCCCAGTGCTTGGGTGACTTACGAGGAATTCATATAGCTGGAGTGCTGGGAATCAGAGTGCCAGCAGGGACAACCACCAAGCGAGAGTGCACAGGCACACGCCAATGCTGTCTTTCAAAAGCCCGTGGTTGGGCCACAGGGTCCCCTCCAGCCTGCCATGCTGAAGTGGACTTGGCTGCATCTACTGAGGCTCAGGGGCACGTGCACTGGTGCCCAAGTTCTCAGCCTTTCCCAGCCTCTCAGTCGATGGCAGTAATTTCCACCGGGAGGGGGATGAGTGTGGGAGAAGAGTGGACCTACAAAGCCCCCTCCCAACAGAATCTAGAAAAGGAGTAGCTGTGCGGTTGTTGGTTGAAGCACCCCTCCTGCTGCTGCCATCCCCATTCTTTACCCACATCAGATGCTCACATATGCTCAGTGAGAGGTGTGCCACATGGCCAACACCCCTTTCACGCAGACTCTGAAAAGTGCATGGATGCTGGCTCAGGTGAGTGGGGCAGAATGTTGACGGAGACCGCCTGAAGGAATACGTTTTTAAAAAAGTATATTTTATTGATCATGCTATCAGAGTTGTGCCATTCTTGTCTCCCCTTTATCCCCCTTCACCCTGCACTCCCCTCCCTACAGCATTCTCCCCCCTCTTTAGTTCATGGGTCATACACTTAAGTTTTTTTTGATAGAGAATGAAGACAAAGAGAACACAAGAAAGAGGAAGCAATCAAAAAAGCAATCTGGAAGTGCCAAAATAAGTAAGAGACCATGGAAAACATTCAAAATATAACACTTTCCTTAATGAGATTTGTTACTAGATTCTTAAATCTAACCAAACAGGATTTATAGACTGGCATTAATAATGACAACCACCTTTTCCCAAGCTTAGGACACCTCTGCTCCTTCTAGAGCTCTACTATTCCAAACACTTGGCCTCTTCCAATATAAAAAACATGGATTTAAAAACGGCTGAATGTTATTAAGGCCAGACACCAAGAGACTGGATTGGTTAAAAGATAATTCCAGATCATACCTATTCCTCATCCCTCACATAACCTGAGTTCACAGCCTCCTTTGTGCACCAACTTTCTCAATTTTCATATCTCCACCCTTCTTGATTTTACCTTCTTCTCCATGGATTTTGCCTGGGAAATCTGTGAGAGTACACTCTGCCCTTCTACCTAGAGCAGGAAATTGCTGTTGGGGGAACTTCCTAAGAGAACTAAGCTTTTCCCAGCAATGAAATGGGGGAAGGGCATAGAGTACAGGCGGCCTAGAATAGATCCTGGAGGTTGGGCCACACAAACTTCTCACACCTCCTATTAGCATTCCAGTTCCCAGAGCAATTTCACACACTAGCTGGCAATCCTAAACCTGGTGAAAAACCAACCAGGAATCCACCCTGTCCATCAAAGGGCTGCAGCTGCCTTTTGAGGGCCACAGCAAGGGCATTCCTTTGTCAGGACTAAATCAACCAGTGATGAGTAGTTTTCCCTCAGATTCAAACCCTGGAAAGCAACGCATTAGAAGCCGATCTGGAGTTCAAGATGGGTTCCAAAGGTGGAGGGAGTGGAGGGCGCTGGGGTCAGATCCTTCTTCAGAACTTAACTAGCTGTGTGACTTTGGGCAGGTCACCTAATTTCCCAAAACTTGTTTCTTCCTCTGTGAAATGAGGATAATAAAAAGGACCTTCAAGGTTGGAGAAGCTTTAAAAGAAATGATGCAGGCAGCCCCGTGTCTGCCACACCGAAAGAACACATCAGGTAGGGGTCCAAACCCTACCCCCACCGCCTAGTGTAGTGCGCCGCATAAATTATATAACCTCTATGACTCAGTTTCCTTGTCATTAAAATGGAGTGTTATTACAACACGAAGTATATAACCCATAAATATTAGCTACTTTTTTATTTCCTTGTAAAAACAGCCTGTGTTTCCAGCTCAATCAATGCTGTAATGATGAATTAAATGAGTTCAATATAATGTTTATTTTTTTCCATCGTGAAGACTTTGCATGCTTTTATGATTTTTCGGGGCCCAGTCAAGCAGCAGTGCTCGGGGAGGGGCTGAACTGTAATATGAAGAAAAAATTTCAAAGAGGGAGAATAACCACCCACCAGGGAGCTATTTCTTTTGTAATGTACATTCCATTTCTTCTCCCTCATGCTTTTTAATTCCTTCCACATTTCCTGCCATAATTACCAAATGTTTGGTTTCTGACCTCACTTTTCGGGAGACTAGAGCCCAGGGAATTTAGAATTGTTTATTTTCTGTCCATAAACCTTTGAGTTAATGGAAGGGCTTGTGAGTGAAGGGTTTGTTGGTTGTTTGTAGTGTCTCAGGAAGGTCACTGGAGTTGGGAAAGAAACATCACCAAAAAAGTGCTGAAATACTTGGACTGCAAAAGCCCAGCCCTCCGAGGGCTGAGCAATGGATGGCTCACACTTGCGCAAACGCTAGTTTAAGGGAAAATTTGAGAATTTAGAAGGCCGTTATATGGTCCTGACAATAACACAAAATCCGAAGTCTCTTTACAAAGGAAGAAAAAAAATCAAGGATTTATAATCTTACTTTATAAAACAAAATTATTCCGCCCTAAAAGAAGAATCTCTTAGGATTTGGGGGTGAGGGGGTCGGGTGTTACTTTTTTTTTTCACCCGGAGGAGACGGACTCGGAAGGAAAAGTCCCGACTCTTCGCACTTTCCTCTGGAGGGGCCTTTCTGAACTTGGCTGCGCCCCGTCGCCGCCACGGTCCCGCAGGGCCCAGCCCGTCCCCTCCCCGCCCCGCTCCCCTCCCTGTTAGCCGCGGAGGGGCTCCCGCTCACAGCTCAAACTTCTTTTCCTGATTTTTGAGGCTTAAGTTTCTAGAGTGGCGGTCCGGCTCCGAGCGCCGCCCCCCCGCCGCCCCGCGTTTGGAAACTCCAGTCCCACCCGCTGAGCGCATCCCGGGACGCGCCGCCGCCCGCAAGCCCGCGCGCAGAACGCGGGGCCCGGGGCCCGAGGTCGGACCTCGTCGGCCGCTGCCTACCTCCGCGCGGACCCAGGCCGCCGCCACCACCGCGAGCGCGAGCCAGCGTGTCCACATCTGCGGAAGAGACGAGAGCGCGGCTGAAGGCACCGGGACCCGCGCCCACCCCGGAAACTTCCTGGGGTCCCGCAGGCTCGCCCCCTCCGCCCTGCGCCCCCCGGCTTCCCCGCGGGGCCGACCCCCAGCGCTGCGCGCCGGGCTCTCACCCTGGTCCTGTCCGGGTTCCCAGAGGGCGCGGAGCGGGGCGGCTGCAGCAAGCTCTATGAGAGCTTCGCCGATCGCCAGTCTCGAAGGAAATCCGACCTGCGCTCGCCGCCCCGTAAGACCCCTCCTTCCCCGACTGCCTGCCCCCCAGCTCCTCCCCGTTCTCCTCCCCCTTCTGCAGCAGCGGCCCCCGCGGCTGCCGGCTCCGCTCCCTCCTCCCGCCGCTGGCTCCCGGGAGCCCGCGTGCGTCCTGGCGCCGCCTGAACTCCGCTCCGCGCCCGGCCCCCAGGACGCGGAGGCTGAGGCAGAGATGGGGTGTCCCGGGGGACACTGCAACAAAAGCCGAGGGTGCGTGGGGGGCGGAAGGAGCCAAAACCGCACCCCTGGGAGGGGCCCGGGCTTGCTGTAGCTCGAGCGAGCTGCGGCTGTGCCCAGCTGGGCGGTGCTGCTGGGGTACCCCGGCCCGGTCTGGGGCAGGAGCCTGGACGGAGAGGCTCCCTGCAGCCTTGGGAGCCCCAGCCGACTCCCAAGGGTGAGAGACCCGGAGACTCCCAGGGACACTCACAGTCCGTGGGTCACTGCAGCCAGGACTCGAGGAAGTGGGCGCGGGGCCTGGAAGGCTGCTTTGGGTTCAACCGTGCATTTCCTAGGGGAGAGTTGGCGGCAGCCCTGCTCTGCTGGAAATACCCAGACTGGAGCGTTTGCTAGCAGCCTCACTCCGTCCATTCTTTCCTCCGGTCCAGGAGCTGTGCCCCCTTCCTGTCTTCCGCCCACCCGTCACCTGTGTCCCTGCTCCCATTCCTGTCACCCCAGCTACCCTCCATGTTCATGCTTTCCATCTCCCCCAGCCTCTTCCCAGTAGGTTTCAAATGTGTGCTTCCTCATTGTATCGATTCTCCAAACTTCCAACTGTGGCCTCTTTCCTACCTTGCCTCTGGTGTCTCTGGTGCTGAGAAACAAAATCCACTTGCATCTTTAGATTGGACATGCCCCAGGCTGAGCCCCACTTCCCACCAGCTCCCAGGCCTGCCCCTCAGCAGCTTTATGAGGCGTGCCCCCAAAACGCTTCTCCGCTTCCCAGACCTGGGTTGTCGCCACATCCTGGCAGTTTTCACTTTGACATCTGCTGTTGTAATTCACATTTCCACTTCCCTAGGCCAGACCTTCATCTGTCCTCACTTGGAGAATTCTGGAAACCACCTCTGGTTGGCGTCCACCTCCAGGCTCTCTAGTCTCCACTGCACCTCATTGCCTATTCTTTCTAACTACTGGATTTAAACACTGTCTTTCTCATGCGCTTCTGGGCTCAGAAACTTTCAGCACTCTTCTCCCACATGAAATCCAAACTCTGCCTTCCTTGTAAGTCTTTCATTACTGGAATCACCCATCCATCTAACTTTACTTCAGCTGCTTAATATACTCCCTATGCTCAGATCAAGCCGGTCTTCTCTCTTGTCCACTGACATGTTCATGTTCACTCTACTCCCACCGTTTGCTGAGTGCCTAATGTTGTGGTTTTAGGGGCTTCAAATAACACTCATATTCCCCATGCATGTTCACAAGCCATTGAACTAGCCACCAGAGCCAGACTGTTGGAGAACAAAATGTCAGCTTTGTCCCTGGTAAAAGCTGGAATGATGGCCCTGGCTTTAGATTGGCATGGAAAATGAATGGATCTGCTTATACTTCATCACAGAAATAAAATAAAACACGCTGACTGGCTCCCTTAGTACCTGGATGTCACGCACAAGAGTTGGAAGACCTGTGTGTAAGATTGGGGAGCTGGAGCCACCCCCCTAGGGCTGATAGAGAGGGTTGGAGGTGCAGAAGAACCCTTGTAATAAAAATCTGTCACCTGAAGTTGCAGTTTTACAGTTTCTGGAAAAGCAGAACACACATGCTTTCTAAGGCAGACCTACTCCCCGGACTTGAGGGGCAGGGTGACACATACTTTCCAGCTCACCGGTCAGGTAACTCACTCCTGCCTCCTTGATATGAAAATAAGAGAGGGGAATAGCTGTGCCCTGCCAGCTGCTGTGTGCCAGGGCTCCCAGTCCCTGCCAGGACTCAAGTGAACTGTAATGCACAGGTTTTCTTCTGCTTACCACACTTTCATCCCTTACACATGCACAGCACCCCTGTACACATGCGTTGCACCCCCTCAGAATCAGGCATGACCTTTTCTCTCTTCCTCTTTCTGTTTATTCAAACCTGTCTTTTTTTCAGTACTCAAAAAAGTTTCATTGCTTCTCTAGCAATAACTTGTTTCTTTAGACAATGCTTGACATAGTAGAAAGCATATGAGGTTTAAGGTCAAACAGATCTGGCTCTTAATTCTATCACTACCAGTTACTTAGGAGCTGTATGACCTTCATCAAATTATTTAAGCTTTCTGAAACTGAGTTTCTGCATTTGATAATTAGCAGAGATAATGCCTTTCAGTGGGCTATGAAATTTAAACATGGAATATTATAGAAAGTATCTCGAGTGTAGTAGACCTTTATACATCTAGCTGTTAGCATTTCATCGATATACTTTGCAAATAAATTATAGTTGGTACCATATGCCATTCAACATGTCTAATTTATTTATCACAACAAACTGGAAGGTATTTTTTTTATTGTTTACATTTTCCAAATAAGGAAACTGAACCTCAGAAAATTTGGATACTTTTCCAAGGTTAACAGTTGGTTATTAAGCCTTACAGCTTGGCGTTCTGTTGCCTACCATTGCAGCAAAACCTTTGAAACTGTTCACACAATTGTTGTTCTTGATTCTCCAGCTGGATTTTAAGTTGCTTAGGGCATAAGCAGTGTTTTTCATTCCTTAATTCTCTCTACATATGGGGCACAATTGATGGATTTGACCATACCAAAATTAAAGAATCCCACTCAATCAAGGGCACCATAAAAAAAAGATAGTTTAGAAGGAGAATCAATACCTAAAACTACAAGGAACTCATAAGTGCAACCCCTGCAAATCAATAAGAGAAAGACAGAAAACCCAACAGAAGAACAAGCAAACCCAACAAGTAGAGAGAAGATGCTTGAAGTCACTGGTGCCAGTTAAACTAAACAATCATATGACATCGGTATTGTTTTTTATTATTTCTCTTTTACAGATAAGGAAACGGAGACAGAGATTTTTAGTAATTTGTCCAAGATAACACAATAAGTGGTCAATATTATCTTAGACTCATCATGGTGGCAAAAGTTAGACAATTAGACGGTGCCAAACGTTAGCATGTGAGTAGTGCAGTCTTTCTGGTGCACTGTCGTGATTAAGAGCTTTAGTGTAGGAGCTGGAAACCCTGTTTCAAATGTGTCTTGGCTGTAAAGCTTGACTTTACTGCTTACTGTGCGACCGTGGGCAAGTTAGTTTGCTTGTTTGTAAAATGGGGATCATCATAGTACTGTTTCCATAGCATTATTGGGCAAATTAAATGTGTTAATATGTGTGAGTTACTTAGGACAGTGCCTGGTACATAGCTTATAATTAATGTGTGCTAGTAAGGAAATAATTCAATAGGACTTTTTGTAGGTACTGATGATAATTCTGTGCTACAGAGTATGATTAACTTAACTCTACAATAAATTAAAAACAAAAACAAACAGCAAAACAAATTGCATGAGGGAGTTGACAGTTATATCAGTGAGGACTTTTTGGTTGCAGATGAAGAGAATTCATTTAAACTATTTAAATTTAATTTAAATAAGTGGCTTGTGCATTTAAGTGGAATTTATTGGTGCCTAGAGCTGAGAGATCCACCGGTAGATCTGGCCTCAGGAAACAGTTCATCCAGGAGCTCAAACAAGGTCACCAAGGATCTGATTTCTTGCCATCTCTTGCCCTTATCTTCATTTCATTTCATTCCTGGGTCCCATGTGGTGGTGCCTACGAACTCCGGTCTGTGCCCTCTGGGTAGTAAACTGGCTGCAGTGGTGGCCTCATCATGCCCTTGGTGAGGGAGAGAGCCTGTTTCTGGAGCTACTACAAAAGTCCTAGAATTCCTCCCCCTTTTTTAAAAGTCTAGATTGAGTTTCTTGATATCTCCATACCAGTCACCGGGAGAAAAAGGAGGGTGGCTCAGGAGTGGGGGGTAGGATGGGAGTTGAGGACTCTCACTTGAAGAAGATCAGGGTGATGATGAGCAGGGAGAAAGAGCAGGGAAGGGGATGAGCGGGGAGACTAGCCTAACAGTGACCACTGCAGCAACAAATCACCAACCACACCAAGCTATCACCAAGCACTGGGAAACCAGTGCTCTCCAAAGTGGGGTGCAGGGTCCCCAGGGGGCATGGGAAAATAATATCTGTCTGTTTACTATTTCCAGCCTAAAAATAGGAATTGACCTTGCAAACATGTAGACAGACTATGCTGCCCTTATTTGGTCCCTATGTCAGACAGGTACCCTGATGAGAGAGCGGGCGTTCTCCCTCACAGAGGACTGACAGCAGCTCTTTCCCGTTTAACTCATCGTGATACACTGAGGTTGCCCACTTAAATGGATTACGTATAATACTATCTAGTTTTAACTAGCTAGATAAAAAACATTTGGCCTTGAAACCAAAAAAATGAGGATAAAGATTTTTTTCCTATTAACAGGAAAAGGGCCCTGGCTGGTGTGGTTCAGTGGATTGAGTGCCAGCCTGTGAACCAAAGGGTTGCCAGTTTGATTCCCAGTCAGGGCACATGCCTGGATTGCGGGTCATGTACCCAGTAGGGAGTGTGCAAGAGGCCACCACACATTGATGTTTCTCTCCCTCTCTCTCTCTCTCTCTAAAAAAGGACAGAGTTGACGTATTTCTTCCTTTTGTAAAAGAGCTTGCTGTCTGCCACATTAGCGAGGTAAAAACAATGACTCAATCATATCTGACAATAAGTAAGTCAGAAACTTCAAGGATAACAAAAAAGTTATTTGAAATATGAATTCATATATTATTAGCACTACTCTCATCCCAAGCGTGCCTTAAGGTATCAGTTAAAAATACTTAGGATTAGCAAGAATTTTAAAACCAGATATAAAGACAAATACCTACATTTTTATTTTTTTAAATAGAGGCTCTTTTTATTTTTTTAAAGATTTTATTTATTTATTTTTAGAGAAGGGGGAAGGGAAGGAGGAAGACAGGGAGAGAAACATTGATCGTTTG